TTCCGGAAGAATGTCCCGACCCACAGTGAGAAGGCATGCAGCACATTCACGCAAGCTTACAAAACACATGGATCATCTGAAAGCACGGGGGATGAAATGTGCTCCTTTACCCTCAGCAGGGCAAAAGCTTTGCAAGTTTGCCTTAGACGTCACATTTCTGCCTCAGAAAGCATGAGGTCTGGTGCCAACTGAACGACCCTGGCTTTATCTGCAAATAGGTCCTGGAGCATCGCAGGGCATGGGGGCCCACAAGGAGCGGGACGCCTCCCCTCCAGGCCCTGGGCCGGGGCGGGGGGACACATGCCTGTGAACCACGCCAGCAGGATGCCTGTAGGCCGCCAGCTTCCCTCGGCAAGGGAAATTAGAAAGCTCCCGCCTTCCCAGCTTTTCCCATGTTGCAATGAGAGGAAGTTCTTTAATAACATGTTTGCAAGGACCCTTCCCATTCTGAAGCAGGATTTAGCTTCTTGAATACTTATAAAAAACCTCACACAGCCTGTTATTTCAACCTGGAAGTTTAAATATAAAGCCAGATCATCCACACTAAGGCACACAGCTGATGGAGTAGAGAGGCCTTGGAGAAACTCGTGGTAGAGTCAAGCAAACCTTGGGAAAACTGTTTCCTGACTTAACTGGAAACACCCTGTCCTTTTCCATTTACATGAGGCGTGATTACCAATTTCAGAAGGTTAAACTCACCTAGAAAAAGAGGTCTCTGGATTCATAAGAGGACCCAGCAGGTGACAACCTGCACCCCACATAAGAAATGGGCTTCCTTTGCCAGAGGTGAGAAATCAGGGCGCCTGTGAGCCATCAGCCCAAGTCTGCAAGCACCCCAAATAGCAGCAGCTGTGTGCACCCTGCCATTGCACGATGCTCACGTGACAGTGGGCACCCGGGCAGCCTGCATGCGCACTCAGCTCTGCTCATGGGGGTCCCTGCAGCCCCAGCGCGTGCCTTTCTCTGGGTTTGGTTCCAAAGGCCTCAAGTGCACAAGAAAACCTGCTGGGTGTTGTGAAATAACCATCAAAAGAGAACTTGCTGCAAATTCTGCAGGAGCCTCTGCCTTGGTGTCGGGGAGGGAGAACGGATGGGCAGAATACTAAACTTGCTGCTCACAGATGATCAAAGCCTCAAAGAAGTGGATGCAACATTCAAAGGGGTTTGGAGAGAAAAAGGGGAGAATGTCTTGAATCATCTAACAACATATTTTTTGTTGCAGTTTTATCCAACCACCTTCCTTAGAAGTGGGACAGCTGCATGAAATAATGCATAAGATATACTTGTCTGAAACTTGACAATTCCCACTCTCTCTGTGGGTGTGTCCACGTGAGCACACTTGGATCCACATGTTACATGGATGCAACATGCTATCCTAATCTGAAAGACTAGAAATAAGCAAAATCTGTTTTTAGATAATAAAGTACAAATTTAATCCAAATATAGTATGTTGCATGTACTTTGACATAAAAATTCACTGAAACAAAAGGGAAAAGTTTGGCAGTAATATCCTATTGAAAATAACTTTTAAATATATCCTTCAGATAATTCAGGAAGTTAGTCTACCCAGCTTTTGAAGTATGCGCAAATGAAGCTTTGCTGGATTATCGTATGGGATTGGTATCTTGGAAGAACATCAAAAGTAAGTCTGCCAAAAAGATCTGGTTTTATCAATAAGTAAAGCAAAAACAAATACCACATATACCCCGCACATATAAATTCAGAAAGTCATGGATCCTGATGGTACTGGGACCAGGCCTACCTGGAAGAAGGAGATATAGAGGTTTACCTTAGAATCTCAGCATCCAAGGCTGCAGAGAACAATTTTGAGAAAGGGATACTCAGGGACTGCTGTGACCCGTGGCCTGGGCTCTGTGGCTCCGTGCACCAGGGTGGCACAGGCTGTCCTCACCACATTCAGTAGAGGGCTTCCAGGCCACTGCTGGGGCCCTCCTTGGCTCCTGCTGAGTGTCCTCAGCAGCACTAAGCCAGCGCTAAGCAGGGACACAGGGACTGTCTTTTTGGAGTGGCATGGCTGCCCTCTAGCACTGTCACCCTCGTGCCACTGGGACACCGCACACTGCACCTCCCTTACTTCTGTATGAATGCCCAGCTCTCTCCCTTCCAGAAGACAGGCCCTGAGAGCTGATGTCAATAGAGCTTCAGATATTGTTGTGGTCATCCTACTGTCCCCAGGCTGTTACACTGGCTTCTTTTTTTATGAATATATTAGGGGGAAAGAAAGCTCCTGTCTGAGAGAGGGTCAGAAGCGGGGCCCAAAGAGGATAGCTTCTAAAAACTTCAAAAACTTCCAGGAAGTGCAGGAAGTGTGTACACCATGCCCCATGAGATGAAGCATAATGTCAAACTGCTCAATCTTCCCTGTCCCCCAGCAACAGAATTACAGTGAGCTTACTACAGCTTTACTGTATTGTAAAAGTTTAATGATATAAAGCTAAGTACGCTGGGCCAGCGAGATAGCTTAGTGGACTAAGCGCCTGCTTTGACAAGCACAGAGACCAGGCTTTGATCCTCGGTGCTGCATGCTGTGTCCACCCCACCCCCGGAGAGCGCTGAGCCAGCAACCGAGTTGGGGCGTGGTGGCGCACACCTGTAATCCCAGCGCTGGAGAGGCTGAAAGCAGGAGGATCACTACCAGTCCAAGCTGTGTAGTGAGATCCTGCACCAAATACATAAATGAGGGGAAAAAAAGGGATAAGTACGCTGAGGCGACTAGACGCTTTCCCTGCAATGTGCTGTTTTATGTTTGCAATACTTGAAAAACTTTTATAAGACTTTTAAACTTGAAGTGTATCTCAGTGGCAGCTACAAAAAACAGGAAGAGATACAGATGCGTTCATGAATGAACATCTGCTTCATTCACCAACGTGCCCGTCTTGTAACCACAATGGCTTCAATTCTAAGTATGTCCCCAGCTAACTCCAAAGCCGAAATCCTGAGGTCCTCGATCTGGGGGCAGCACCCTGCCCTGCTGTGCAGGGGTTTGCTCCAGAGGGGTGGCAACACACCCCACTACCCAGGAGGCTCTCTGAGCATGTCTGGGAGTGATTTCAGAACAAAGCACAATAAAAATATTCACAACGATTTCCAAATTTTCCTAGATCATATTTTTAAAGAAAAGTTTTCTTCCGTCTTTCCCCCTTTTTATTAATCTGGATTGAAGAAAAGCACACATTTCATTTATTGTCTGGATTACAGATTCTTATTAAACAAACCAGAGCTCATTATAAAATCAATATCAACTTACCCACCATGTCCCCAGGAGGAACACAAAAGGTCACTCTAAGAAATTCAAACAATTTTCCTCCTGGAAGGGCATGATTTTAATTACAGATACTATTAATTAGAGCTGTCACTAGGAAGACTTTTTTTTCTGTTAATTATGACAAACTCGGTTCTAAGTATACATTTTCAACCTGTATTTTTGTAAAAATTAGTCATTTCTGCATGCAAGTCTAACCTTTCCATTCTATCAATATTTTATATTTGAATTTCAAGTATACAAAGGATGCTTTCTAGACATCTACGCCTGTAAGATCTTGCGTCTCTCACACTTGGAACAGAATGAGGTGATAATTTATTTATGTTCCGACACAGGGTTGGCCCTGAAGACCTGGCATCCTGTACGGATGGCCCTGCTCAACAGAACTTCTGGGTAAATTCTTACTAGTTTATGTGACATTTTTTTCAGACCGCTTCTTCAAACGCGGTTTTCCTTTTGCTTTGAAGCAAAGCTATGCACTGTGCCTGAAATGCCATCTCCATTTGAAGTTGCTACTCCTTTGCAATACAAGAATCATTCTGACCAGGTTTGTGACCCCTCCAAGAGGCGAGGGGTTTTCTCCATTCAGTGACAATACTAACAATTTTGAAATTAGAGGAGAAGCTATGTTGTGTTCTCTTTTACACACAGAAATTTTATGAATTCACTGCAACTCCTTACATGGGGCAGCTTAGGGTGGCCAAGGGGCAAAGTCCAGTCAGCTCCATGCCAGCTGGAGCCTCAGGCATCTCCGAGGAGCTGGCTAGTCTACCTGGGTAACCCTGATGACAGAACAACAACACTGACTTGTGTGGAACACATGAGTTATTTACATGCTGTTACATACAATGGTCATGTGGCCACAGATGACAAAGATCCGCCCACTGGGAGAAACCCTTGCCAACGCATATCGATTAAACTCTTAAAATGGTGATGAAGTGAACTGCTCCACCTTCTCAAATGAGGATACTGCACATACACAGAATTGACATACTTTACATTACAGAAACCAGATGTCTTGACTTGTAGATATGCCTGGCTTGCGCTGCTGTCTGGAGTCTCATTTTATTATGGAATGTTGTTAGATAGGACACACACTACAGAGCACCCCAGCATCCTGAGGTTCTGTTTCTGCCCCTCAGCTTCCGGGGCCCTCCAGGGGTGTCCGCTGGAGCTCAGCACCTCCCCATGCAGTGCCCACCACCTTCATGCAGACACGTGGTTTTATCTCCCATTTATCAGTGCTAGATTTCACTTTATCTGAGTCACAGCACAGGGTGGCGATGGATCAGGTCAAAGGGGCTTTTCATATAGAACCCTGAGAAAGTCGATGATTTAAGAGCCATCTTCAAACATCCACACAACCAATTCATCCTACAACTCTGGCATCTTTCATTAATAGTGGCCAAAACAAAGATAACAGATAATACATAATTCATGTATTATACTTTTTCCATATCTCTAATTAGCAACCTGCTTTCACAGCTAACACAAAACTCTCCAAGAACAGCGCAAGATTAATACAGAGCCATAAAGCTGCGGTTGCAAGGTATTTACATGAATGCTAATGAGAACTTTCAAATTGTCGTCATAAAAGAACCCAAACTATAAATAAACGAGCAAATGCTGGGTGTGGGGGAGGGCCCAAGGGCAAGTGAAAGATCTGCCTGTGCAGTGTGGATGCACCCAGCAAAGCCCGGAAGGACTCTCTTCTCACCTGGTAGGCCGCAGTGGCGTCTGCACTCGCGCCGCCCCCCAGGCCCGACAGCTTCTTCTTTAGCTTGTGGTGGGAGCTGTGGCGGAGGCAGTAGACGAGGCTGGAGGCCACGAGGACCCCCACGATGCAAGCCATGGACAGAAAGGTGAGCACGATGAACTTGATGGAGTCCTCCTGCTCTCTCCCGTGAGGCAGGAGCTTGAGCTTGCTGCTCTGCAGGATAAGGAGAGAGGCCACGTTAGCACTCCAGGGATCGCCACTGTCCAGAAAGCCAGCCTCTGCGCACCCTGAACACTCGTGCCAGGGGGCAGCCAGGGCACAGGCACCAGCCAACAGTGCTGGAGCCCCTCAAGGGGCGCAGGTGTGTTCCAATCCAGGGGCGGGAGATCCCAACTACAAGGGCCCCTGTCTGTTTCCTCGCTGGGGGCTTTTTTTTCTTTTCTTTTCACATTAATAAGTTATGTGAGGTGCTAGGCAGCTCATTTGCTGCCTGAGGTAACACCAAGCACGCAGCCCTGCCCACGCAGGAGCCAGGAACCCATGTCCTTGGGAGAGGTGGACCCGCAGACAGTGAGGCAGCAACCAAGTTACAGAGTCGGCAGCGCTCCACAGAACGCGCCACCCCGACCTGTGGAGATCCTGCTAGCCCGAAAGGCCCCGCCTGCCTTGGCACATCCTGAGTCCAGCCGCGCCAGACACCTCCGTGTACCTCCGAATCCACCGGGCCGGCGCCAGGGAATGGGCCCCACGGAAGTGCACCCTTCAGTCCGCGTTCATGCCCTCAGCCTCCCTGGGCCCTCGCGGGGTGCCAGTCACCGGTCTCCAGGGCAAGGAGCCCGGGTGCCCCTCATTAGCTTCTTTAGGAGGTGCATTAGAGGCAATTAAAAGCGCCGCGGGTGAAAGGATGGCTGCCGGCATATCGCCCGCGACTCCGGCCGAGCCCCCCGCAATTACCCGGGAAATGAATGGCAAAGCACGCCCTGCCTCGGCCCTGGTTGCTACAAGACGAGAACAATTAGCAAACTCCTTTCCACCACCTAATTTCGCGTGGTAACAAAATGGATTTTTCCCCATGAATGCCTGGCCGGCCTATTCATTATCTCTCCTCTATTAGTAATTTTCTGCTCCGCATTCAGCCTCCCAACTCTTCATTTCCTCCTGCCTCCGAGTGTACACAGCGCCTCTTATGTCAGGCCGGGCCCATTTTTATCTTGTAATCATAAAGGCCACCAAAGCAATTATCGCCGGTCTTGACTGGAAAAGCTGGTCATTAATTAGCCTCCTTTTGCCTTCCGCGCGCGGATTAGCGGGCGCCGGGACCGAGTTAATGGAAACGCGGGTTCAATGAGAAAGGACGCCCGGATTTGCTGCCTAGATGCGCGCCGGCTAGGAGGACGCGGGGTGCTGGGCGCTGAGCGGACGGCGAGCGGGAAGGGGGCGAGCGCGGGAGGGGCAGGGGGCGCCGGAGACCCCCGCCCGCCCGCCAGCCCGCCCGCGCCGTCCGTGCCCCGCAGCCGCGCCGCGCAGAAGTCGCGGGGCACCCCGCCACCAGAGCCACCCGCAGGTCCCGGCGCCCCGCCGCCGGGAGGCCCGCGGATCCCGCGTGGCCGCAGCGTCCCCAAGCGTCTCGGGTCGCGCCTCGCCCGGGCACACGGTTAAGAACGGGGCTTCGCGAGCCTCCGCGGGCCAGGCGGGACCCGCCCGGTGCGAGCCCCGGGACTGCGCGGGCTCCTCCCGGGGCGCAGCGGCCTCGGTCGCCACGGACCGCCAGGCCCCAGCGGGAAGCGGGACGGCACAGAGGGCCTGGACTTTACTCAAAGGTCAAAGACAAATGTCAAGGAGAGATGGTGCGGATCTGGGCTCACGCCTCCTGGGCCCCGCTGGATCTCAGGCACTGGGCAGAGGAGGGAACCCCGCTTCCCTGAGTCGCGAAGCTCACTCATGCCTCTGCCCCGGCCTGCGCTGCCCCGGGGTGGGGGGAACGACCATGCCCTGAGCTGGGTACCAGAGTCCCTCAGGGGCCGAGATCTCCAGCGGGGCCGCTCCGGAGGGCCCCGCGTCTGACCTTGAAGCTTTGACCCTAGGGGAAGAGGCGGTGGAACCTTAAAAGTCACCTTTCCTGTCGCCCTCTCCCCGACCCCCCAGCAGCCCACAGGCCCCATCTAGCATTGGGCAGGAGGGTGGGTGGCCGGGGAAATGGGCTACAGATCTCACTTTAGGAATCCCGGAATAAACGAGAATAAAAGAAACTTCGAATGGTAGCAGCAAAGCCCTTTCTGGACATCGTGTTGGAGTTTAAGTAACTTTACAATTACTTTACTTCATTGCTTTCCGTAGAGTTAAAAGCATACTTAGCCCTCTCAACCAGGCAGGTCTGAGAAGGGCGCTCAGAGTCCCAGTGCTCACGGTGCAGACCTAGCCCCCCTGCTCCTGCTCTCCAGAGGAGTGGCTGGTGGGGGCCACAGGTGCTTTCCTGGGGCTGGGCCGGAAGACAGCCCAGACTAATTAGAAGCATCTTATCAGTCTTGACTTGAAATTGAAAGAAAACGATGTTTAAATATTTATGACTTTGACATTTGCAGGCAGCCATCTTTTAAAAGCAGACCACCTTCTGGGCCGCCCAGGGCTCTAGCCGAAGTTTGGAGTGAAGAGGAGAGGGTGGAAAACGGCGGTCCCCAGAAGCAGGGCACAGGCTGGTGACGAGCGTCCCACGGAAGGGGCACACTCACCAGCACTTTGGTGCCAAGCTGGCAGGGCGGGAACACTGCTATGGCTTTTGAAGTAGTTGAGAATGAATAATCAGGCTGACTACGTCGTCGTTCAGATTCATCTTGAGAGGGGAGGTGAAGCGCAGGGGCGCACATTGCCTCCCATCTCCACCTGCAACTCCTCAAATGGAGACTGCACAGGATTGAAAAAGTTGTGATCCAAGTGAGTGTGCTGGCATAGTGGCAATCTGTGGAACTGCTCTTAGAAATCGGTCTGCAGGCACGGCTCTGCCTGGCTTAGCCTGCTGACCTGTGCTGATAAGCCAAGGTGCCCGGCTCGGGCGCAGGCTCCTCTGAGCCCTATCTGGCCAATGCCCTCAGATCAGCTTCCCCACACCTACCTAGTCCAAGAAGAAGGTTAAAAGAAAAGAAAAAGGGACACTGCAGGCCCAGACTCAGTTGTGAGAACTGAGACAGCCACAGTACACAACTTTACAGTAAATATTGGTTGACAAGTAGCAAAGTCTAGCATTTTTGCAAGGCTACACGGCATAAAGAGTCCACAAGACCATTGTCTGAGTCACCGAGTTGCAATTTTAAACGACTCTTGTACTAAAAGCAGGTAGAGACACAGGTGTTCAAGTTTACCCATGTAAACTTCTAGCATTGCCGCTGCATTTGCTTGTGCCATTTTTAAGGGATCTGACTTGCAAGCAGCACCAGCCTGTGTTGTTTGCATTCTCTGAAGGGTAGCAGAGCCCTTCACTAAGAATGAGGGGAGGCATTCCCCTCCGCTCCTGGGTGAGGGTCATGCTCTGCAAGGGTGGGCATTACTCTAATTAGAGACCTTTTCCCCTGTAAAATACCAAAAGTAGTTTTAGAATTAATTAATGAGTTACTATTACGAGTTTGTCTTTGGTTTACTATGTGAGCATCTTAGAATTATTTGGAGATTTATGCTAAAAGTATTAAAATATATTTACTAAAATATGATAACTACCACTTTAATGCTGGTCACAATTTTTCCCAGTTTTCAAGCCAGGACAAATGACCATATTTAAAAATCTGGGGGAGGGGTGTCTTACAATATTTTAAAAGTATTTTTTAAAGGTGTTAAGTGAACTATTTTTAATTTGGAATTTGCCACAGAATTCTAATAAATGAGAGAAGTCAGGCGGAAATAATCATGTATTAATTCTCTGCATTACAAAATCTTTTCAGAAGCTATTATCAGAGCAAGAGGCACTGCGGTCTGAATTCAGGGTGGGAGAAGTCCTTTGTGCTGCTGAAAGCTATTGTTCCTCTGTGCAGATGAAATTGTACTTGCAAATCTGCCATTCAAGTAGCCAAAAAAGGGGAGGGAGAGATGGGCAAAAGCAGAGAATCTCCAAGAAATAATGACTCTTAAATACAAACTCTAATGAAAATAAGTTGGAATGTACTGTCTTAAAATGGGCTATTTCTTGAGGCTTTTCAGGCATACACAAGAAAGTGGCCAAGCGAAAGATAAGTTGTTTATTTGCCATCTTTAAGCACTTCTAAAAATAACCGTTTTATAAAAATACTGTTTTTTAAGACACTAGGGAAGATTTACAATACTGACGTTAAAGGGAGGAAAACACCCGTGCACACTGATTTTTTTTAGCAGGGCTTCATAACCACATATCGTCCGGGCTGGATGAGAGAGGACCAGCCAGCTGAAAACAGGCCAGGGCGCGCCGAGGAAGCCTGCTCCCTCCCACCTGTCCCATTCACTGGCCGCAGCATTTTCACTACAGCAGAGCTCAAACTCGCCCCTGGCCTCGCGCGCCCAGTGCCTCAGAGCCCTGGGGTGTCCTGGAGTGCCTCCCTGGGCAGTGTTACCTAGGAAAACGACTTGTCCAGACGAGGACACCCCTTCCACGCCACCCCCAGCAAGGACGAAACCCACCCGGGACCTGGAACTTCATGCTTTGCCTGCCATGTCCAGGCCAGGAAGCCTGCTCTGGATTCGGCTGGATTCGGCTGGAGCCAGGGTTCAGGGAAGCCGGGGTGGCTTCCCGTCCCCTCCCCCGCCAGGAAGGAGACCTCAGCAGGCCGGCGACTTTCTCACCCCTGCCTCCCTGTCCCTTCCCCCCTCCTTAATTCAGGAGATCCCTACAGAGGTTGGAAAGAGCAGACCGTAGCACGGGACACAAAGGGTTGAGAGTCCCTGGGAGCTGGGGTATTCACAGCCTGAGAGTCCCCTTCCCAGCAGGGACAATGCCCTGGCCCAGGCTTACAGGCCACAAAGCACACTGTGCAGGGGAGGAGTGCACAACCCCCAAAACACCGCATCCAGCCCGCAATCTTGGACTTCTCAGCCCTGCCGCGGTGCACTTTGACCTCCCTGCTCTGGGGCTGTGTGGGCGCACCTGCTGGGTGGGTGGGCATTTCTTCACATGTGGGTGGGAAGTGCTGCCATCTCCCTCCTGGCACAAACCCCACTTCCGATCGCATTCACCTGGCCCTGCAGCAAGGGATCTG